AAAAAAGAAAAAAAGTGGTGTTTTAAATTGTGACGTGGTCTTTTTTTTTTTTTTTTTTTTTTGAGATAGGGTCTCCCTGTAGCTACAATTGGCCCGGAACTTGCTATGTAGACCAGGCTGGGCTCTATCCCACACAGATCCACCTGCCTCTGCTTCCCTAGTGCTGGGATGAAAGGCGTGTGCCATTATGCCCAGAAAGACTCTATTTTTTAAACTTTATTTTTAATTATATGTATATGTGTATGTCTGCCTGTAGGTATGTGCATGTTAGTGCAGGTGCCCAAGGCATCCATAGACATTGGATCCCCCAGGAGCTGGTGGTTGTGAACCACCCAACATGGTTTCTGGGAACTGAACTTGGGTCCTCTGGATGAGCAGTATGTGCTTCTAACCACTGAGCCATCTTTCCAGTCCAACTCTATTTTTTTAAAAGAACTTTTAATTTTGACATAGGATTGTTATTGCGATGATGGCATCTTTTCAAAATTAATCACCTCCTGAGAAAGACTGCAAATGATGAAAGGGGGAAAAGCAGACACCTGCTCTATTTTGCACTTACCACAGTTCATCAAATTGCTTATATCACAGGGGGCCCCAGAGGTCTCCATGGTCATGATGTCTCCATAGCAACCATGGTACAAGTGAGGATGCAGGTGAGGGTTCGTGGAGTGAGTGAAAGGGTGTGAGCCCCTGGAAGTGCCTGGGAGGCAGAACAATAGTTTATGTGAGCAAATATTGCTTGAGCTGCTCTGAAAGAAAAAAGCCACTACGCACCAAAGATAAGAATCTTAAGCTCAGTCCTCCTCAAAGTCTATCCCTCTTGGCTCATCAGACAAAACAGGAGTGACCCTTTCCCACTGGATTCCAATATTTTAAAATTTGTTTTAAATATAATCCTTTATTATAAAACACCGTGCAAAGTTTGGTGAAAAATCAATTCATATGGGTCTCAAATAAATTTGCTGCAGTCTTGATCAGAATGAAAACTGCCACAGGAGAGAAATATAGAACACTTCTAATGTAGATGCTTCTGGGAATGTAAACATCTAATTGAAGAATTTGCCTTTTTTTAGAAAGATAAGAAAGAACTATACAATAAATAAGTATCCTAGGCCTATAACTAGTAAATATATTTGCATTTTATGTTGTGTTAATATGAAGTTGAAGTTCTAAATCCATTTAATAACATTAGAAGTAAAAACTTTAATTTACCATAATAACTTTAGTCAAATCTATTTTTATTTTCCATTGTACCATTATGACCTGAGTAGTTCTGTTCAGGTCTCTTTGCTAAAGGAGATCTGACATTAGTTTCTATATTGCTGAAAAGTTTGTCCTCATTTTCCCAGGATCTGTTAGCTTGTATCTTAAGATTACTAATATTTGTCATAATTAACAGTGTATATTCATATTTAGATATTTAACAACTTGTTAAAAATAACTGCAATTGTTTCAATCTTGTAAATGACTTTTTAGAGGTAGGAATTTGATGCACCTACTATATATATATAT